CTTGCAAAGTAGCTTGAGAGTCACAGCGTGGGTGAAAAGATTACTTGTCTGATTTCCCAGATGGGAAACCGGTACACTCAGATAACTAGGGCTAGGTTTCTACTGCAGATAAGTATGCTGGGATCTGAGCTCTTCAGAAAGATTGTCACCATAGGATATGATCCAATCTAAAAGAAAATCCGTGGAAGGACTAGGATTCAATACCGCCTGTGAACAATTTTTTTCCCCACTAGAACCAGTAAAATATTAGATTAGAAGAGACTTCTGGAGGTCATCTAGTCCAACTCCCTGCTCAAAGCAAGGACAATGTAAAGGGTAGGTTACTAGGATTTCCTAGTTTCATCTCTGTTTTCCAATACTTATTTAGACAATACTTCCATATTCTTTCTGGTTAAGCTTGTCCCCTCAACAAATACATACATATACATAGACACATATCAAAAACTTTCATGCAAAATCCTTAAAAAATTCCTAGTGATTGAAGAAATCTTCTGCTGATGTTTTGGAAGCTGCTTTGATAGCTCAAATTTGCATTAATTGGAAACAATAATTTTTGAAAAAACTAAGTTTACAATTTTAAACCCAAATACATGGATATCCAACACCAAATAAGAAAAATAAATTCATGGTGAAATAATCCAATGTTATTAAGAATCTTAGAATACTTATGGATAATTCCGACCTTAATTAAAACCGTCAGAAAAGAGATACTCAAATTTTAGGAAAGAGATCAAATAGAATGATACTTACCCTTTTCACAGAGGTGAATAAAGCAAGCAAGGTGGAATGAAGAGCCCTGAGTTGGGAGAGCTTTTATACAGTTCCCTAGATCATGGGGATCACTTAAGGTGCAATTTGTGCATGTGCGTAATTGGGGCAAACCCAAAACTAATATGACACGTAGGTCCTCAAAGTTTTGCTGACTATGTGTTTATTTGTTGGTTCGAAGTCTCGTGAAATAAGATAGGTGCACTTCATCACAGAAGCCTCTTTCATCTCTGATAGTTACATGTCATATTCATTCCTGTTATGATTTCATTCACATCCTTGGTGTTACAAGAATTATACTAACGCTCTTCCTTAGCTTCTCCATTATTAATGGCAAAACTAGGCTGCTCACTACGCGGCTGTGGTCACCTGATGTGCACAGATCTTTCCATTAAATCCAGGCTGCAAGATAACTGGCGATAAAATGGAGTTCATTAGAGTAACTTTGGGGTTGTCATTTTTATCTTTATCATTCGCACTCTCAGCTACTTAACGTGAGACCAATACTGCACTCAAAGGAAGCCGTAGAAAACATCCTGTGGTCCTTAAATGGTTTTCTATTATTTGGCTTTTGCTCCTGAACACAATGCTGGCCTCATCTAATGAACGAGGGACTTGGGGAAATACCTCTTGCTTTCTTTGTTGTGCATTCAGCCATGGATTACTCTCCCTGTCCTTTTCTCAAACACTGGCAAGTCCTTTGGACCATCATTCTACAACCATGGAAGAAGACCAATGAGATTTTAAGCAGAAGGCAGAGAGAGCACATCCTTTTAAACTACTCAGATTTTTCTAGCAGGTCTCCCTCACTGTATTTCAACCCAGGTTGGAGTCTAGAGGCAAACTAATACTTACCCTTTCTGTTCTCAAGATTGCAAGGCGCTTTCTTTGCAAAGCATTTGTCACCCACATTTTCCAGTTTTCTGTCTCCTGATACAAAGCCTTCAGGGATCCATTTTTAGGTCCATCTTCAGATCAGGCAATATTGAAGACTACTGAGAAACGAAATTAAATGAAACATGACTGGCGGCAACTTGCTAAAGCTATCCGGAGATACGTCATGATAGAGACAGAGAAACCATTTACATGGATAAAGGCTGATCGTTGAAAGAATTGTAACATCTCAAGAAAATAATTAAATCCTCTGTTTCTGTGGTCTGATGTGCAACTGAAAATGATAAAGATACACTGATTATGAGTGTGATATGATATGATATGAGCTTATGAAATGCTGTATTTTATTTAAATGTTTCATTCTATACTTCTACATTGAAAAAACCTGAAGATGCACAAATTCCCAGCATTCAGCCATGGACTGATTATACCAAGGATACAAATACCTTGACTTACATATTTTAGTGTGATGTCATTCCATAATTGCTAGACACCTAAATCCAGGCACATGCCTTTAATCTAATTGTAAGAATGCATTCTCAAAACATTAGTGGATAGTTTGCAGCATTTGAAAAGACTTGCTCCCTGGAAGCTTGAAAATATTATTGTCCCAAAAAACTTCTAACCACCTCAAAGACTGAGAAACCCACCTCTTAATTTAGAGATAATTTATGGCATAGAGTCTGCAGTATTAAAATAACACATCTGTAAACAAGGGAAGAACCAGTCTTTGTTTTGCGTCGTGCATTCCAAGTTCATAATTGTTCCCTGTTCGCAGCAACTGCCAGCTCAGCCCTGTTCTGGACTTAGGTTTGCAGCAACGATAGTGTATTACAGGAGGTCATGAATTCCTGAGAATCAAAGTCAATAATTCAAAGCATTTCTGTCACATTTCAATTTTTGCACCAGAGGATCCATTTGTACTGAAAAAGCTTGGGTTACCTCAGGCCTATTGATTATTTTCAAGTACCATCTTTGCACCGACAACATCAACCCAACAATACCTGGGAAAATTCTCTTTGGGATCTCCAATCCCTTTGTAGCTTTAGTTAACTTCAGAAACGCATTCCATGTTTATCTCTTAAAAAACAAAAACAAGCCCCAGGAAGATAAAGGCTTCCTCTCCACCTTCTATGTGAAATTGTGCGGACTTATCCCCACACATTTTGTAAGAGAATATAACTGTTTGAGTGACTGACAGATGGAGAAACTGATTCAGCTCATATCTGCATGAAGAGAGTTCCCAGCACTCCAAAACTAAGGATTTCACAATTTCTCTGCTCAAAGCTAAACTTCAATTTCCACGTAAGCCTTATTTAGAGACTGAAGCACATGTTGCAGGTCCCTGGAATTGCTGCTGCTCTTCAGAGCTGAATCGTCCCTCTCATGGCCAGTGTCAAATACTACTGAAAAACATCATCGACTCCCAGGGGTGTTGTGTCCTCCACTTGTGGGTGGGGAAGCTAAACATGCAGAAACCACCCCCAATCTTCCTGCATATCACATTGACAGTCTTTAACTTCTGTCCTGGCACATTGTAATGTGAGTTATATGTACTTAAACAAAAATCCTGTCCATGACAGCAGTTTGTAATTCTGATAAACCCATGAGACACTCTCCAGGCGTTAAATTAATACAAGAGAAGCTGGCTTAATGATTTCTGTCGTAATTTCAAGGAAGTGACTGGAATAATGCCAGGTATTAATTTTCCCCAACAAGTCACAAGATGAAAGAATTCTCTGTAATGTAAAGTAATGTTTAGGTCCTGTTACAAACAAATTTGAAAGGACTCATAAACTCCAACAATGAACACAGCAATTTCATCATCTCGACAGGTTACACGTGTTTGAAATTGGGGTGGGCAACCAATGTTGGTCTTGTACCTCCAGCTGCTCCAATATAAAAGCTCTTCTCTCTCATAGCTCTTCCAAACGCTTCCCTTGACTTCTTGGTGACTTGGGTAAGTCTGATTCTTCTCTATTTCTATCAATGTATCTGTATTTACTTATTATAATGTATTTATTCAAGGTCAGGCTGGACAGGGCTCTGAGCAACCTGATCTAGTTGAAGATGTCCCTGCCCACAGCAGGGGGGTTGGACTAGATGACTTTTAAAGGTCTCTTCCAACCCAAACTATTCTATGATTCTATAATTCTGTATTTTATTGCTGGTTTCAACTTCAGTTGATGTCCACCATCCATACTGTTGAGTGTATCTGCACTGCCTTGGGACAGCGACTCTAATGCTGGCTCTGGGGTGGCAGATACACCTATTTGGTGCATGGGGCACGGCAGAGTTCTCAGTGTCAGGAACACTGGGACATGCATAGCACTACCCTTACTTCAATGCATTTAACTTATTCCAAAGTTCGCATGTTATGAGGTTCAACAACAAGAGCATCACCACTGCAGCCATTCATGCAACCTGAGACGAACAAGCAATGCATCTGAGAAAGTTGTGTGTGTTGTCCTCGTACAGCAAATCTTTGAGATTTGTCTGTCCTTTACTTTCTTGCTTTCATATTCTTCCTCAGAACCCTTCTAAGGACTTGCAGGACATAGGGAGTGGAGAAGAGTAAAATCACCCTTGGAGAAAATAACTGAGTTTAGAGGGGAGAATATAGGCTGAATTCTTGGGTTTACCAAGAAGTCCTGGTTTGTCCGGGGAATAATAATTTGAAATGAGTTTTTTGAAAGACATTAGGGACTAAAATGGTGATTTATATTGAAATTGTCCAGGCTGTATCCATACAGTGGCTGTGTAGGTGGGAATCGGGATAACAACACTACCATCTGTCCTTTATTGTCTTGACAAATGGCTTTCTGAGCAATCTGGGCAGTGACAATCCCATAATCTGTTGTTCCTACAACTCTCAGCAAAATTGGGATGAGTGGGAAGAAGAAGCTACTGTAATTAAGTTATATATAAACTACATTTCATGTAAACCTGCTGAACCCAAATCCAAGTTTTCCTACTGACTCATCAAATGACCTTGGACAAAGTCACTTTGCTTTCTCTGCTTTTGCTTCTCAGTTTTCAGTTTAATGTGTAGAAATATATCTAAGTTCTTCGCAGGATATTTGTGAGGGACAACACTTTCAGAGCTAGGCATAATGTTTCCCATATGCCTTTGCATGTGTAGACATTTTTTAGAGAATTTTCAAAAATCTGCTTTTTGAAAAAAAAGGATTATGATTGCAAAGTGGGAAATCAATTTATTTACTCAAAATCCTGTACTTGACTCATTATTTTAATGTAAACTGTTGAATTTTGAAGTCTTTGTCTTCTACTTAGTCTAATCATCAGTGTGTGTTGCAGTTTACCTCTATCCCTGCGAGATGTCTTGCTACGACCTGTGCTCCACCTCTGCCTGTGGCATCAACCGCCCCCAGCCCATCGCTGACAGTGGGAATGAGCCGTGTGTCCGTCAGTGCCCTGACACCACGACTGTGATCCAGCCACCCCCAGTCGTCGTCACCTTCCCCGGCCCCATCCTCAGCTCTTTCCCCCAGGATTCGGTTGTGGGATCCTCTGGAGCACCCGTCCTTGGGGGCTATGGGGGTTATGGCTCCCTGGGCTATGGGGGTCTGTATGGCT